CGTGGAGGTTGGAGTAGGCGGGAGTTGAGGCAGATCCTCCTGGTGTTGCGGCGGCGTACTGAGGGGTCCTACCCTGTTGCGAGGCCGTAAGCTTGGTGGCTTGAGGTGTTGCCATTCTGAACGTGCTCGGACTTTAGATTGGATGATTCGTGGACTCGGTTCGAGGTGTGGGTCAGACTCTTGGATCTGGATTGAGGTGTTGAAGACAGCTTCGTTCAGTGTCTCGAGCTGGAGGCACAGCCAGTGGGCGCCTTCGCGGCAGTTTCCAGCTTGGTCTGGGGCACCTCTGCAGCGTGTTGTTCCTGCTTTTTAGATCGTATGAAAAGGATCATAGATCATTAGATAGATACGGCAATCGAGATGCCGTGTTCAGGGGAATATTTGATTCCATACAAGATGAAAACGAGTGTTGTCAGAAGCTTTTTTGCGATTGAGCTTGCTGCTTCTGGAGTAGCAGATAATCCATGGTTGCTGATATCTGTCCTCGGCAGGCAAGTGGAAGTTCGAACAGGGATTATACTGCACTACTACCAAGTGTATATGTACGTTGAGATGTTTACGTAAGGCAAGTTGAGAAGGCCTCACGCCATGCCTTCCGGAAAGTGGGCGGTCTCAAAGGTAATAGACTTCCGTTCACCGTGCAACGGTAGAACCATCGCAGATAAAGTCCTGTCCAGCTGACGATGACCTCATACCAAAATATACGGAACTAGGTCTCCCTCATGGGACGTGCAGCCGGATGGGCTGAGGTTGATTGTGGCACTTCCACCTAGCCGTTGCTCTTCAATATGAAAACTTCCACTGCTACGATATTAACAGTGGACACATTCTACGGTAACGACTACATGAAGGAATTTCAGTGACCTCTATCCACTCAAAAGTTGCCAGTACACCTAGTCAACAAAATGAAGGTGTGAAATTCAGAAAGAAGGTGGGTCAGTACTCAGTACTGGGAGCTGACTGCAATAGCATTTGGGGCTTGGGATATTCCCGAAAGTCGTTCCGAAAGTCATTCCGAAACTCAATCCGAAAGCCATTCCGAAAGTCATTAGTCATTCCAACCTCTCAGTGTCATCCGATGCCCGGTGCCATTTGATGCGGAATAAACTTGCCGGGTCACGTATGTATTCATACATCTTGTATGTATTGGTACAAGTGCAATGCCCGCTGAGACGGTCGTATATACTGCAATCTGGTCGGGAGCGAGACGGAACCCCTGCAAATTGGAATATACAAGCGCCTTTTGCATCGAATACGGCACACAGAAGGATACCATCGAAACAAAACGGACTCATCACGGTATTCCACAGGAGCGAGGAATACCCATGCCGTCCGCATAATCTAAGGCGTTTGACTGTTCCTTGCCAAACCTTCGCAGGTTAACTGACAGTCACAGATCTAGACCGTCAAGGGTCTATATTGCCTCCTGCCAAAGATAACTCTAACACCCAAGATGACGATCGTGATCTCAACCCAGTCGAGTCAACACTCTCCGCCATCGGCTGGACACGGACGCCATGGCATGCTCACTCGTGAGCAAAGCAAGTGACTAGGTACGATAGCAGAGTGTCAGCAAGCTATCTCAACCTTGAGCCAACTCCGTCGCTAGCGTGATACGAAAGATGAAAAGTTGTAGCTACCTACCTAGGTAGGTAGCTAGGTAGGCAAAGCCGTCTAGCAAGCTAGTATGTACTACTACGGTACATGAGCAGCAGCCCAAGTCTCCTCCCTCCCCCCTACTCCTTGATCTCTGTAAGGCTGACTAGGTACCAGGGATGAAGGCGCCCCTGGCTTTGTTGTGTTTTGGCGTGTATTCCTGCAGGGTATCGCGCGCGCTCTTCTCCCAGCAGGGTTCCAGCGTGTCCGGGGAATGTTGACGTTACATTCCAGGCCCGAACCTGCATTCAACCTGCATATGTCGGCGGTCACGGGATCCCCTGCACAGCCGTTCGATGCCCAATTCTCGCCACTCAGGCTACTTCCTTTGTTATTGTTGAATTACCAGACGCAGAGTCGGTCTAAGTTGGTAAAAACTTATGCGACGCGCGTTGTTTCGAAACTACTGCAGGTACTCCGGTACTTGTGGAACTGAACACAGTGTGTCCTTATATGTCCACATCATCAATATCGAGCGAAATGCAGTAAACGGGGCGTGCTTACTCATGCATAAGATGCAATGGCCTGACATCTGTTGATTCGTCTGGCTACCTAATAATGCAGAGACAACGCTGGCCATTACAGTACAGTGTGTTTGATGTAAGCTGTTGCTAGACTTTGAAATTGAAGCAAAGTCGAGCGGTCCACCGAGTCTACCCAGGGCCCGTGATCTAGCTGGACGAGTTCATTAACGATTGCCTACCTACCTAGATAGGTACCTGTTCTAATACGACGAATATTCACGCAGACTGTGATTTGATGTCTATCGCAACCAGACGCGTATGTGACTATCTAGGCGCCTATCCACTATAAGCTAACAGCATCTTACCTACCTAGAGCTCATAATTTTATGTTCTACAGGCGGTTGTCCCATAGATGCTTGTTCAACTGCCCGCAATTATAATTGGTTCCATAGATGTGCTATATCTTGCCGCCATGATCTAATGATCTTTAATTGCTATCATCACTTCATCTGACCTCCGACAGTAGGCAGTAGAAAAGACACTGCGTAGTCACACTTTGACCCCAATGTACCTAGGTAGGAGGTCCAGTACGTTGGCTTTGCACCTGATATGGAGCATGGCCATCAACCTGAGCTTGACTTGGCTGATGCGAAGGCACATTTTCAAATCAATGGTATTACTACATATCCCAAGGAACGCTGCCAATAATTGGTCCTTCATCGCTAGTGTAGGCTAAACAAAAAACAATACCTCTTTTTCCCCTCGACCCAGTGAACCCCACTAACATAGAGGTTCACAGACCGGGAAAGCCCAATCTGAAAATTCATCTTGAGAATAACCAAAGGACGCAAGCCTATATCACACATCCCATTCAATGGGGATGTTTTTCTGAGACTTCTTGCGTTGCACCGGGTCTTTGTCTTGCTTTGACTCCCCAATCCGTATCGCCTTCTCCCTGCCCGCTGTTCTTTTTTTCAACACACACCAATTATAAGTAAATCCCCGAGCCAGCCCGTCACTCGGTACCCGAAAGTCCCTAACGCTTTCGAAGGAGTGTTTCTGGAAGAATGGGACATCAGCCTCTGGGCATAGAAGGCCTATGCTGACGCCATCTCGCATAGCCAGCTTCTTGCCCCATTCCAACATGGCTATATCGTGGCCTCTAGTCGTATTGTAGCCTTCCGGTCTCCGGTAATTTGGATGGATAAATAACTGGTCTAGGCAAAGCTTTTCTTGGAAACGGTGTCTAGACAAAGAAACACAGCGCATTAGAGTTATACTTTGGCAAATGTCAAATTCCAGAGCCATGGCCATTGCATGACATCTTCGGTCAGTAGTTTCTTACTCTTCGCATCCGGCACGCTGCAAAGCGCTGCAAAGCAAATGCCTTAAAGGGTCAACGTCGTAGTCGAGGCTGTGCATTGTGTGCATGCCGTTCAGGTCCACAACGAATTGGCCGAGTCGAGGAGAGTCCTTCGGAAGCCTCCAGACTGCCACTCCAACGACATTGGTCTCTGGTGATAACGTCTCATCTCCGCGAGAGGTTCTTCCCCTCTTTAACCTGATCGGATGCCTTGGAGTCCATGGAGTTGGGCTCTCGGTGACAACAACCACAGTTCTAGGGTCCGCAAGATTAAATAAGGTGAGGTTTAGCAAATACCGAGCAGTGTCCTCGGGATGAAATTGTTGGTAAGGAGATATGTATCGGAAGAGCTGCGATTCTGCACAATGCAAGTGCTCAAGCCCGTACAAAGCTGCGATATCGTTTATAGTCGCCAGTCGTACAGACCACCTCCACCCGAAGTCCGGAAATGGTATAAATGGGGCCGTCCGCGGGTCCATATTGGAGTCGGAATATGAAATATCTAGTGTTGGGGGAGGTATGCAATTGATTCGTCGTTCGGTGTATAATTCTTTTCTCGAAAGATTGCTGTATGCTTGTGACTTGGTGGAAAGAAAGATAGATCATGGACAATCAAAGTCTGCCAACTTGACTGTAGACAAGCATAGACTTTAGAACTGCGTCGATCGCGAGGTCGTGAGGCCAGTTAACATCAGTCCAGGAAGATAATACCCTCTGGAGGAAGGAGGTGCAACTCCGAGTTGGAAATATTGCAAGTGCATTCCTTCATATTCCTGGACATGGAATGCACACACAAATCACGTATTGTATGCAAAGAGGTACTTGAACTTGTAGGATTCCAGATGTTCACTAATGACAAGAATGCGAGTCCAGCTGCACATACCCATGCTGCTAGTCGATACAGACCTATTGAACCCTTTCATATGCTGCGATGTGGGTCCTTTACTGCATTGAAAACCATATGTGCCTGCCTCCCGAGGTCCTGGTTCAGAAGGAAACAAAGACCAATTATTAAGTTGAATGCTATCCACTTACAACGTCGATACGCCGCAGTGACTCTCGCTGGCATCATCCATGTGTTCCACGTTATCGGAGTCCGAGTCACCCCCCCCCCGAAGGCTGTCTGCAGCCGCTTGAAATCGGACAGCTTCAAGCGGCTGCGAAGACATAAGGCCCGTTTTGTTTTCCCCAATAAGCTTGAAAGAATTCACTAGTATCCAAACAGCTTGAACACTCCGTCGACTTTGTAATTTCTCTGGCTTAGATGCCTAGCCTGGGCCGGTGGTGCTTGACATTCATGAGGCTCCACAAATACATACGAAGCAATCTTCTTGAACTCTTTCAAAGTGCTTTGACACAGTTAGGTCTTACAACAGTACTAATGGGTGAGAATCTACATGAAAACAGTACACATTGAGAGGTCCTGATCTGCAATTTCCCGAAGTTGACCCGGTTGTATATCATCTAGAAAATAGCAAGAAAAATGGACAAGACAAGGAAAGCCTAGTAAAAAGTACTGGAGAAGCTAAGAATCGAACTCAGGACCTTTCCCATGACTAGCTACAAATGCTAAGGGAAAATCATATCCACTAGACCACATCCCCTATGAAAATTGATGAAGCAGCGCAATTTTTATTACATTATATTCTACACGGGTTGTGGGTCTTCAGCTCCATAATGTAATTCTTGGGGGGACGGAATGCTTACCTAAGCAATTGACTAGGAGCGTTTACAGATTTGATTTTTTTGTGGGTTTATTGTCTTTGTGATCCAAATGCTTGGGGTATCTTACTTAGTTACCTAGTTTATCGGACAAATATATATAATAATGTGTTATATGATTCATTTTTTGAGTTTTGGTCCGAATCTGTGTGACAAATAGTTCTACAAAGATTTCTAACAAACAACTAATAATCACAATGCCTTCAGCAGTATTTTTTCTTGTTTGGTTGGTAGTGCATTAAATTTAACTGTAACTTAGGTGGCAGTGCCTTGGCAAACTACAAACAGGGAGTTATAATTCAGAAAAGCTTCGTCCAATCATTCAAATCCCACGATGACTCTCCTGATGGGAGACTGAGGCATGCCTCTCTGACCTTCCATGCCCATGATCGCCATGCTCAATGGATGGCTCACCAACGTGTTGGCGCAAGACCGACGGAGGCGCTTGAGCGGCATCGGTTGGATCTTTTCCATGCATAGCACCTGATCTTAGAAATTGTTAGTATCGTAACTATAAACAATGCGGAACAAATGGTAGATAGTAACTTACTTACGACAAAGTCTTGTTTCCGCCATAGGTCTTGGATCCGTCCAAGTCGCTGTCCACCCGCGGGTCAGCCTTATTGAGAAGGTCCGACTTGTGAGGGCCGGCAGTGTTGGCGGCTGGTCCAGGTCCAGAGCCAATGTGAGCGGTGCCAGCAGCACCAGGAGCGCCACGGTGGTCACGGTCGCTGTCGATTCTTGGGTCGGCAGCGTTGGCGGCCCGTGAGTTGTGAGTGCCGTGAGTGCCAGTTGGGTCGTTGTAACCCGTCATACCCGGGCCACCAGTGGTAGAGTTGTAGCCAGTGGCGCCTGTGTTGTCATAGCCAGTTGTGCCGTGAGTGCCGTGGGTGCCGTGAGTGCCATGGGTACCGTGGGTGGCACGGTTGTCGCGGTCGCTGTCGACGCGAGGGTCGGCAGCATTTGCGACTCTTGAACCGTGAGGTCCATGAACACCCTCAGGGTCATTGTAGCCGGTCACGTTTGAGCCTCCAACACCTCCAACACCAGCGCCAGTGGTGTGACCGGTGTGTGTTGAGTGACCAGTGGTGTGCGTGTTGTGTCCAGTGTGTCCGACACCGGTGCTTGGGTTAGCACGGTGGTCACGGTCACTGTCAATCCTTGGGTCGGCAGCATTTGCAGCACGGGAGTTGTGGGTGCCGTGGGTGCCTTCGGGGAGCTCGCTCTGCTTGTCGCTGTGGAGAGCCTCCTTGACCTTGTTAACGAGTCCAGACATATTGGATAGTTTGGTGATTGGTGATTGTGAAGGTAAGTGTAGGTATTGTAGGTGGAAGTTGAAGAGTGTTTTGAGTAGTGGGTATCAAATTATTGGTGTTGGTGTTGATAATGCAAAAGGAATTTCGAGTGTGGAAGGCGGGTAAGAAGGAACACTCTTATATCCCACGAGCTACGGGAGAAGTCACAACGCGACACACTAGAATTGCATCATTTTGATTGCAACTTCGTGGCAAGCACGACGTGTTTTCCTGCAAGCGAGCAAGCAGTTTCAACCTTTCGCCCAAGGTATGAGGCTACTCTGATCTGTCGTCATCGTGCCTTGTCGCGAAGTCTACAACGATGCAGTATCCAAGACATAAGCGGGGCGGCCTGGGGCGGCCTCCCGTCATCAGGCTACCAACTACAATTGTCCGGGACGATCAAGGTCGATCCATTGGCCTCCTACGTGTTCGTCCAGTAAATTCTAATCAAGTCAGCCCAGTCTCGTAAGCCGTGCAATCTGGGGAATGCAAGGGACCTGGACCCCACCCCCGAAAGTAAGCTATGTAATCGCGATCTCGTGACCTTGTCTAGTCCGAATATGTCGCGTAAAACTGTGCAACTACTCTTAGCCGGCGGGCTAGTTGCCAACTTCTTCAACAGCGTATGGCCCACGGCATGAAGCTGGCGTCACTGCAGCCGCAAAACGTCTCAGCTCTTTGACGTTCCCTCGCAAGCTCCCTCATGCAAGGAGGGGCCATGACGAGGTTGGGAGCATCTGAAGTCCCATTGGAGTTGGAGCTACCGCTAGCTTCCAAGCAACGCCACGTTTGAGAAATCCAAGATTCACTCGAGAGGGGACCCACGTTAAAGATCAAGTCTAGATTTTCAAAGCGGATCTGGAATGAATCAAGAAACAAATTAGGCAAGCGAGGGACCAGGCAAAGAAGGTCTTCCGAAAAGAGGCACGGACGTCGTCATGATGAGCGCAACATTCAAGGTCTTATCGATTGTCGGCATTGTCGATCATGTGGCGTTACTAGCCACTTCTCAGGGGTAGCTGTGGCGTATTTCGGGTAGATTTGCAGATTGACAAGAAGAGGCTCCACTAAGACGTCATAGCTGATTCAACGACGACGACGACATGCCATTCTTCCGCCTGCCAAGACCATGCATCTTGTTCAGAACTCTCGCTGCGCCACTATTCGTTGTCAGACAGACGTGGAAGTGAGCGTCGCAGAGGCAAATCCGGCAAAGAAGCCCTACCAAGCGCGAATCGCCAGGCCAAGTCAGAGGACCGAAGGTAGGCAGTCACGGCATCTGTACAGAAAATGTGCAAATGGTCTCACCGCCATAGGCAATCTTCACCAGATAGGTGGCAATCTAGTCCCAAAACTAAGGACAAAACTAAGAACATGTCAGATACTGCGCTCTATTGCCCGCGTTACTGCTTCCCACTTTGGTCGTCCCCGTGAAGGAGGCCTGCCTACCTAGGTAGGTAAGTAGGTATACGATAATATGGGACAACCTCAAGAGCATTGGTGCTACACTAGGGTACCTAGATGTGTTACGAGGTTTTTGCGGTGACCGATGTGTCTGAATTGCGCTCATTTCTACTCTTCTACCCAAGGCACAACACTGAGTATATTCAGAAGTACACATAGCATTGCCCCCGGAGAGGAAGACATGAAGGTGGGTTGCATTTTAAGTGCGCTGACTTTGATTCTTTGAGCATTGCGACATCACCCAACCCCAACGCTGCCAAGGCAGGATTGTAGCACCACCTGGCACGATGCGTTAATATGTACGATGCCTCGCTTCTAGCAAATTACACAATATGTTCGCCAAGTGTTTGTGAGGCCCTATGAGACGGCACGGATCAAATCAGAGGAGACCACATCAGTCGAGTGAATTTGTGACAACTGAGCGGGGAAAGAAAATGACAACCTGCAACTACTATCAAATGAGGACGTGGGATGATATCCGTTGATGAAAATACGTTTGTTTCCCAAACGTTCCCTCGAAACATTAGTAGAAAGGATCGAGAGCCAGTTTCTTCCTCGTTGCCGGTTTTGGAGTCATTTGAGGCCAGATACAGACACATGCACCAGCTTTGGCCGGGCTGACCTTTTAGTCTGTGCGGCAAATCTCATATGTACAGGCGATCAGATGTCGACCTCCCTCAAAACTGCCAAGCCATGGATGGGCAGATTATCGGAGGGATCATGCAAGAATCCGCGTCTGACATGATGATGTGTTTCCAGGTCTCGCAGATCCTCCCCGGTGGCGCCACCCGGTGTAAAACGATTCAGCCACTTTCAGATCTATCGTGAGTTTTAACTGCTAGTGCATCAACTTGATTGAATATGAAGCTATGGAGGATCGAATTGAAATGGTGAATGGAGTCTGATATAGTGTTGTGTTGTGTGCCGCAAACCAGCCGCGAAATATCCGCGCAGTCTAATGCGACCAATCACAGACTCTCATCTCAAGCTCCGGCTAACAACGACACCACCCAATTCGTATGCCTCGATGCCTTTGTTTTTTACCTTGGTTTACAACAACTATCAAAGTTTCAACGACTACTTAGCCCTCGCACGAAAGATGAGGATTATGCCGGGGCGACTCTAATCATAAGGCCAAGGGCGCCAGGCGCCAGGCCTAGGACTGCCAGCCAGTCTCAGGGTAAGGAGTCTTTGGACATGGCTGTAACAGTCAGTTCTCAAAAAGACTAAAAAAATACCGGCACTCCCTGTTCTCCTGCAAATATTCCTGCCCCCGCCCCCCCCGGTATCCTGCGTGGTTGGTCATTATAGCAGACACAATAGAGTGATCGAGTCAGACTGGGCTTTTCTTACCCTCACCACCACCAACTTGTAGCAATCAAACGTCAATCCAGTCCAATTTAGCCTCGTTTTAATCAAGGAATTCAAATAAACGTGGGCCGGGCATGGATACCTACGGAGGCCTCCCTTGGTTGGCTTAGATCGATGGTCCAGCCTGTGACCGGAGCTCATGTGGATCGGCAGGCGAAGCATGAACATAAATGACAGTGTCGACTGCCCAGGCGGTGGTGTCATGATTCGTCGGTGTGGTGGATTTAAATGCCTGGCCCCACAAAGTTCTGATCAATTCAGATACCTAGATAGAATGATTGCCTATCAACGAAGCTTCCAATGCAGGATACGGTGACAGCTTTGACCTCTGTACAGCCTTATCAAGGGCTCGACACGTCACAAAAACAAAGGAGATGTTTGTCATAGACGGTGGTGGTATCTGGATCCCATTGGCTGACTCACACCAACAATGCCAACCTGCTTCTGACTGTAATGGAATTGTTCCTCAGGTCTTATCAGCAAATTGTTACATTATCTACAGTATGTCATCAACTCCAATATGAATCTATCATTACTGGAGATTATATTATAAAGCGATTTAGTCAGCCCCTCCAAGCTGACACTATCTATTCAGGTAGGTAGAGGGTGTGATTCACAGGTGGAACGACGACGATCGCATCTTTGTATGCATGCTCTATTCTGATCAGATCTACGTAAGTCCGCCATCTCGGAGACTGGCCCTCTATGACTGGGACGGATACCTCTTCGTAGTTAATTAAAGGCTCTCA